ACGTCTGTCGTAAGTCAGTGTTGAAGTATTGGAATTACGATAGCTGTAGCATAACGTCTGTCGTAAGTCTGTTTTGAAGTATTGGAATTACAATAGTTGTAGCGTTACGTCTGTCGTCAGTCTGTTTTAAAGTATTGGAATTACGATAGCTGTAGCATAACGTCTGTCGTAAGTCAGTGTTGAAGTATTGGAATTACGATAGCTGTAGCATAACGTCTGTCGTAAGTCAGTGTTGAAGTTTTGGAATTACGATAGCTGTAGCATAACGTCTGTCGTAAGTCAGTGTTGAAGTATTGGAATAACGATAGCTGTAGCATAACGTCTGTCGTAAGTCAGTGTTAAAGCATAGGAGTTACGATAGTTGTAGCGTTGCGTCTGTCGTGAATCTGTTTTGAAGTATTGGAATTACAATAGTTGTAGCGTTACGTCTGTCGTAAGTCTGTGTTGAAGTATTGGAATTACGATAGCTGTAGTATAACGTCTGTCGTAAGTCTGTGTTGAAGTATTGGAATAACGATAGTTGTCGCGTTACGTCTGTCGTAAGTCTGTGTTGAAGTATTGGAATTACGATAGCTGTAGCGTTACGTCTGTCGTAAATCTGTTTTGAAGTATTGGAATTACAATAGTTGTCGCGTTACGTCTGTCGTAAGTCAGTGTTGAAGTATTGGAATAACGATAGTTGTAGCGTAACGTCTGTCGTAAGTCTGTGTTGAAGTATTGGAATTACGATAGCAGATGCATAACGTCTGTCGTAAGTCTGTTTTGAAGTATTGGAATTACAATAGTTGTAGCGTTACGTCTGTCGTAAGTCAGTGTGGAAGTATTGGAAAAAACGATAGTTGTAGCGTAACGTCTGTCGTAAGTCTTTGTTGAAGTATTGGAATTACGATAGCTGTAGCATAACGTCTGTCGTAAGTCTGTTTTGAAGTATTGGAATTACAATAGTTGTAGCGTTACGTCTGTCGTCAGTCTGTTATAAAGTATTGGAATTACAATAGTTGTCGCGTTACGTCTGTCGTAAGTCAGTGTTGAAGTATTGGAATTACGATAGCTGTAGCATAACGTCTGTCGTAAGTCTGTTTTGAAGTATTGGAATTACAATAGTTGTAGCGTTACGTCTGTCGTCAGTCTGTTTTAAAGTATTGGAATTACGATAGCTGTAGCATAACGTCTGTCGTAAGTCAGTGTTGAAGTATTGGAATTACGATAGCTGTAGCATAACGTCTGTCGTAAGTCAGTGTTGAAGTTTTGGAATTACGATAGCTGTAGCATAACGTCTGTCGTAAGTCAGTGTTGAAGTATTGGAATTACGATAGCTGTAGCATAACGTCTGTCGTAAGTCTGTTTTAAAGTATTGGAATTACAATAGTTGTCGCGTTACGTCTGTCGTAAGTCAGTGTTGAAGTATTGGAATAACGATAGTTGTAGCGTTGCGTCTGTCGTGAATCTGTTTTGAAGTATTGGAATTACAATAGTTGTAGCGTTACGTCTGTCGTAAATCTGTTTTGAAGTATTGGAATTACAATAGTTGTCGCGTTACGTCTGTCGTAAGTCAGTGTTGAAGTATTGGAATAACGATAGTTGTAGCGTAACGTCTGTCGTAAGTCTGTGTTGAAGTATTGGAATTACGATAGCTGTAGCATAACGTCTGTCGTAAGTCTGTTTTGAAGTATTGGAATTACAATAGTTGTAGCGTTACGTCTGTCGTAAGTCAGTGTGGAAGTATTGGAAAAAATGATAGTTGTAGCGTAACGTCTGTCGTAAGTCTTTGTTGAAGTATTGGAATTACGATAGCTGTAGCATAACGTCTGTCGTAAGTCTGTTTTGAAGTATTGGAATTACAATAGTTGTAGCGTTACGTCTGTCGTCAGTCTGTTTTAAAGTATTGGAATTACAATAGTTGTCGCGTTACGTCTGTCGTAAGTCAGTGTTGAAGTATTGGAATTACGATAGCTGTAGCATAACGTCTGTCGTAAGTCTGTTTTGAAGTATTGGAATTACAATAGTTGTAGCGTTACGTCTGTCGTCAGTCTGTTTTAAAGTATTGGAATTACGATAGCTGTAGCATAACGTCTGTCGTAAGTCAGTGTTGAAGTATTGGAATTACGATAGCTGTAGCATAACGTCTGTCGTAAGTCAGTGTTGAAGTATTGGAATTACGATAGCTGTAGCATAACGTCTGTCGTAAGTCAGTGTTGAAGTATTGGAATTACGATAGCTGTAGCATAACGTCTGTCGTAAGTCAGTGTTAAAGCATAGGAGTTACGATAGTTGTCGCGTTACGTCTGTTGTGAGTCAGTGTTGCCGTATTGGAATAACGATAGTTGTAGCGTTACGTCTGTCGTAAATCTGTTTTGAAGTATTGGAATTACAATAGTTGTCGCGTTACGTCTGTCGTAAGTCTGTGTTGAAGTATTGGAATTACGATAGCTGTAGCATAACGTCTGTCGTAAGTCTGTTTTGAAGTATTGGAATTACGATAGCTGTAGTATAACGTCTGTCGTAAGTCAGTGTTGAAGTATTGGAATAACGATAGTTGTCGCGTTACGTCTGTCGTAAGTCTGTGTTGAAGTATTGGAATTACGATAGCTGTAGCATAACGTCTGTCGTAAGTCTGTTTTGAAGTATTGGAATTACAAATGAATAGTTGTTGCGTTACGTCTGTCGTAAGTCTTAGTTGAAGTATTGTAATATTACAATAGTTGTAGCGTTACGTCTGTCGTAAATCTGTGTTGAAGTATTGGAAATACGATAGTTGTAGCGTTACGTCTGTCGTAAGTCAGTGTTGAAGTATTGGAATTACAATAGTTGTCGCGTTACGTCTGTCGTAAGTCAGTGTTGAAGCATTGGAATTACAATAGTTGTAGCGTTACGTCTGTCGTAAGTCTGTGTTGAAGCATTGGAATTACGATAGCTGTAGCGTTACGTCTGTCGTAAGTCTGTGCTAAAGTATTGGAATTACGATAGTCGAATAGCTACGCTGGCACATCGAGACGGGCCCAGATTCACACCCTCCATCCCATTATCCCGACGAAATACTCAAACTTCCAACATGTGATGCTGTCACTACCTGCGGTGTTGCGCATCAGCAGTTGGTAAAAGCAACTCCTCCTGCCACTACCGGGTAGACACCACAGACACACTATCGACCGGTTTTGTGAATAACAAGAGTGTTGTATCAAGTTTCAACACCCGGCACTTCGTAAATAGCCCTTGACGAAAAGATCATTTTACGTGAACTCGATGTCTTTCGAGACGAGAAATTGTTTGTAGGCCTCATAAGTAAAACGGCAGTATCTGTTTTGAAGATCTATTGATATTTTACGTTAAATTTTCATTTCCTGATCTTCGAATACACGAGTCCACGAATAACCCGTTTTCTTTGTATCCTGTCACCGGTACTTGAAGTCAGTTGGTAATCCATATCTACTGTGTTTATTATTAATACATGCTAAAATGTGAAGCGAAATCGGAAAGGGAGGAATATTTGTTCCAAATCAGTGGAGGTGAGGTGAGGTGAAATGGGGTTTAACGTCGCGTCCAAGATAATTGCACTTATATAGCGACGTGCATGTACGTGTGTGTATTTGTGTGGCTGCTTGTACTAGTCCGGACTGATGCCGATTTATAGTGCTAGCTCACTGAGATACCATACCGCAGTTTAACATGAATACCCCACTCAGACACAGTATTCTGACTCCGAGCCGACCAGTCCTTGTTTTAGCCCCTTAATGATGAGCGCCAGACAGGGTAACAACAAGTACCATCTTTTAACGTCTTTTGGTATGACGCGGAACCGCTCTACCACTAGACCACGGAGGCGGTCTCCAAATCAGTGGAAGTCAGCAACTCTAGGATTTTGACCTCGGATTTTACACTTATTAAGTCTGTGACATTTCAGTACCTATAACTATATCACATGAATATATGTTTGCACGATTTTCACAGGGATTTCTGTTGCCACATGTACAAATGTGTAATCTTAACATTTCCAGGCTTTTGTGAAAAAGCTGGGTCAGTCAAATTTTATCATACCTCCATGTCAGAATGACGAGATCAGATTGGTCCACGTGATCTTGATAAAATACTTTGTAACCCGTCTTGGAGGGGAATACATTTCTCAGCGGGGGCATAAATCTTTTATACCCCGCCATGAGCAATACAGGCTGCATGTGGATTTCTGAGAGACGGAATAAATCGCTTATACCCCGCATCAAAGCAAAATTCAGCACGCTTATTCCGAGTCAATGGAAGTCATGTGCATCGTACATGTTAACCTCATCTCAATCGGGGGCGGTCGGGTAGCCCCGTGGTTAAAGCGTTCGTTCGTCACGCCAAAGACCCGGGTTCGATTCCCGACAATGGTACAATGTGTGAAGCCCATTTTTGTTGTCCCCCGCCGGAACATTGCTGGAATATTGCTAAAAGCGGCGTAAAACCATACTCACTCATTCAGCTCAATCGAACAGCTGTTTTCTATCAATTTTGAAATTGTGTTAATTCTTTAACAATGTCACATTAAAACATGTCCGGCTCGTGGTATAAACCTAACGCGAAACGCTTAAATCCCCTGTACCCCTCGTGATCCTGGTACATCTTATTTTATCTTCTTAAACACAATATGTTCTCGTAGTATTTGGGGGGCACGGGTGGCCCAGTCGTCTAAGGCGCCGCGATTCGCTGTGCAGAGTTGCGTCCCTTGAGCACGCCAGAAACCTATGATTGTGGGTTCGAATCCCGGTTCGCCCCGATTATGTTTGTAGGTTTGTCAGCACCATACCCGTGCTCGTGGGTTTCACCGAAGTGGTAAACATCTGAGACCTGCATCACTTCGGGCTTTCCTCCCACATTAAGCTGACACACCGCGATATAACTGTTAAAAGCGGCGATAAACCCAACTCACTCACTCACTCGTAGTATTTGAACTACAATCTGAGATGATATGACCTTACAAATGCAATGTCAAAATAGGCACTATCTGAACTAAAGATAACAGCTGACCTCCCCAGCTGACGTTAGTAATTGTGTGGCTGTCTTGTTCTTACTACGAAGTGAGACAAAGCATGCGACTGTTGATTTTAGCTACCCTGTCCTTTGTGGCCTATGTGAGTTTATTCTTCTTCGTTAACATTGAACTCGGATTTAAAATGTGTTACATTTTTTATCATCTATGTCTTAAAATCCTCTGGTATTTTTAAATTAATGAGACATTTTATTTAAGTTTGATTAATTAATAAATGTGAGAGATCAATATGGTAGGCGATTAAACCCGCCGCCAGTCATGTTATATCACTGACGGTATTTGTGACGATCTGTTCACATGACGGCTGGGCGCATCCTTAAAATACTACTGCAAATACTGTTTGTTTGTTTGTTGATTGTTGGGGGGTTGGGGGGTGGTGATTAGTTAAAGCTTCTATTTGTCGAAAACCAAGGCTCGATTCAACACATCGGCACCGGGTGTGCTTTCGATCTGGAGTCCACTTCCGACAGAAGAGAGTATTCAGAAAGAGAGTGGTATGTAATTATTTCATGACTTGAAGCCAGTTGGCGTCAGAAGATCGCTGTAAATCCTTAACGGGGCCAATCGGTATTAAATGAATATAGTTAAGGAATGGGTGGGTGGGTTGGTTGGTGGGTGGGTGTTTGGTTGCGGATTTGAACTGATGAGGGGGCAGATAAGGGGGGACGGAACAGATGAGGGGGGACGGAACAGATGAGGGGGGCGGAACAGATGAGGTGGGACGGAACAGATGAGATGGGACGGAACACATGAGGTGGACGGAACAGAAGAGGTGGGACGGAACAGATGAAGGGGGACGGAACAGATGAGGGGGGACGGAACAGATGAGGTGGACGGAACAGATGAGGGGGGACGGAACAGATGAGGGGGGACGGAACAGATGAGGGGGGCGGAACAGATGAGGGGGGACGGAACAGATGAGGGGGGGGGGGGGGCGGAACAGATGAGGGGGGACGGAACAGATGAGATGGGACGGAACACATGAGGGGGGACGGAACAGATGAGGTGGACGGAACAGAAGAGGTGGGACGGAACAGATGAGGGGGGACGGAACAGATGAGATGGGACGAAACACATGAGGTGGACGGAACAGAAGAGGTGGGACGGAACAGATGAATGGGGGCGGAACAGATGAAGTGGACGGAACAGATGAGGGGGGACGGAACAGATGAGGGGGGACGGAACAGATGAGGGGGGCGGAACAGATGAGGGAGGACGGAACAGATGAGGGGGGCGGAACAGATGAGGAGGGACGGAATAGATGAGGGGGGCGGAACAGATTAGGGGGGGGACGGAACAGATGAGGGGGGACGGAACAGATGAGGGGGGACGGAACAGATGAGGGGGGACGGTTCAGATGAGGTTAACGGAACACATGAGATGGGACGGAACACATGAGGTGGACGGAACAGAAGAGGTGGGACGGAACAGATGAGGGGGGACGGAACAGATGAGGGGGGACGGAACAGATGAGGGGGGCGGAACAGATGAGGGGGGACGGAACAGATGAGACGGACGGAACAGATGAGGGGGGCGGAACAGATGAGGGGGGGGGGGGGCGGAACAGATGAGGTGGGACGGAACAGATGAGATGGGACGGAACAGATGAGGTGGTCGGAACAGAAGAGGTGGGACGGAACAGATGAGGGGGGGCGGAACAGATGAGGGGGGACGGAACAGATGAGGTGGACGGAACAGATGAGGGGGGACGGAATAGATGAGGGGGGCGGAACAGATTAGGGGGGGGACGGAACAGATGAGGGGGGACGGAACAGATGAGGGGGGACGGAACAGATGAGGGGGGACGGTTCAGATGAGGTTAACGGAACACATGAGATGGGACGGAACACATGAGGTGGACGGAACAGAAGAGGTGGGACGGAACAGATGAGGGGGGACGGAACAGATGAGGGGGGACGGAACAGATGAGGGGGGCGGAACAGATGAGGGGGGACGGAACAGATGAGACGGACGGAACAGATGAGGGGGGCGGAACAGATGAGGGGGTGGGGGGGGGGGGGGGGCGGAACAGATGAGGTGGGACGGAACAGATGAGATGGGACGGAACAGATGAGGTGGTCGGAACAGAAGAGGTGGGACGGAACAGATGAGGGGGGACGGAACAGATGAGGGGGACGGAACAGATGAGGGGGAACGGAACAGATGAGGGGGACGGAACAGATGAGGGGGACGGAACAGATGAGGCTGAACGGAACAGATGAGGGGGACGGAACAGATGAGGGGGACGGAACAGATGAGGGGGGCGGAGCAGATGAGGGGGGACGGAACAGATGAGGGGGGACAGAACAGATGAGGTGGACGGAACAGAAGAGGTGGGACGGAACAGATGAGGGGGGACGGAACAGATGAGGGAGGACGGAACAGATGAGGGGGGCGGAACAGGTGAGGGGGGACGGAACAGATGAGGGGGGACGGAACAGATGAGGGGGGACGGAACAGATGAGGGGGGGGGGGGACGGTTCAGATGAGGTGGACGGAACAGATGAGATGGGACGGAACACATGAGGTGGACGGAACAGAAGAGGTGGGACGGAACAGATGAGGGGGACGGAACAGATGAGGGGGGACGGAACAGATGAGATGGGACGGAACACATGAGGGGGGACGGAACAGATGAGGTGGACGGAACAGAAGAGGTGGGACGGAACAGATGAGGGGGGACGGAACAGATGAGATGGGACGAAACACATGAGGTGGACGGAACAGAAGAGGTGGGACGGAACAGATGAATGGGGGCGGAACAGATGAAGTGGACGGAACAGATGAGGGGGGACGGAACAGATGAGGGGGGACGGAACAGATGAGGGGGGCGGAACAGATGAGGGGGGACGGAACAGATGAGGGGGGCGGAACAGATGAGGAGGGACGGAACAGATGAGATGGGACGGAACACATGAGGGGGGACGGAACAGATGAGGTGGACGGAACAGAAGAGGTGGGACGGAACAGATGAGGGGGGGCGGAACAGATGAGGTGGACGGAACAGAAGAGGTGGGACGGAACAGATGAGGGGGGGCGGAACAGAAGAGGTGGGACGGAACAGATGAGGGGGGACGGAACAGATGAGGGGGGACGGAACAGATGAGGGGGGCGGAACAGATGAGGGGGGACGGAACAGATGAGACGGACGGAACAGATGAGGGGGGCGGAACAGATGAGGGGGGGGGGGGGCGGAACAGATGAGGTCGGACGGAACAGATGAGATGGGACGGAACAGATGAGGTGGTCGGAACAGAAGAGGTGGGACGGAACAGATGAGGGGGGACGGAACAGATGAGGGGGACGGAACAGATGAGGGGGAACGGAACAGATGAGGGGGACGGAACAGATGAGGGGGACGGAACAGATGAGGCTGAACGGAACAGATGAGGGGGACGGAACAGATGAGGGGGACGGAACAGATGAGGGGGGCGGAGCAGATGAGGGGGGACAGAACAGATGAGGGGGGACAGAACAGATGAGGTGGACGGAACAGAAGAGGTGGGACGGAACAGATGAGGGGGGACGGAACAGATGAGGGGGGACGGAACAGATGAGGGGGGCGGAACAGGTGAGGGGGGACGGAACAGATGAGGGGGGACGGAACAGATGAGGGGGGACGGAACAGATGAGGGGGGGGGGGGGACGGTTCAGATGAGGTGGACGGAACAGATGAGGTGGGACGGAACAGATGAGGGGGGACGGAACAGATGAGATGGGACGAAACACATGAGGTGGACGGAACAGAAGAGGTGGGACGGAACAGATGAATGGGGGCGGAACAGATGAAGTGGACGGAACAGATGAGGGGGGACGGAACAGATGAGGGGGGACGGAACAGATGAGGGGGGCGGAACAGATGAGGGGGGACGGAACAGATGAGGGGGGCGGAACAGATGAGGAGGGACGGAACAGATGAGATGGGACGGAACACATGAGGGGGGACGGAACAGATGAGGTGGACGGAACAGAAGAGGTGGGACGGAACAGATGAGGGGGGGCGGAACAGATGAGGGGGGACGGAACAGATGAGGTGGACGGAACAGATGAGGGGGACGGAATAGATGAGGGGGGCGGAACAGATTAGGGGGGGGACGGAACAGATGAGGGGGGACGGAACAGATGAGGGGGGACGGAACAGATGAGGGGGGGACGGTTCAGATGAGGTTAACGGAAACACATGAGATGGGACGGAACACATGAGGTGGACGGAACAGAAGAGGTGGGACGGAACAGATGAGGGGGGACGGAACAGATGAGGGGGGACGGAACAGATGAGGGGGGCGGAACAGATGAGGGGGGACGGAACAGATGAGACGGACGGAACAGATGAGGGGGGCGGAACAGATGAGGGGGGGGGGGGGGGGGGGGGGCGGAACAGATGAGGTGGGACGGAACAGATGAGATGGGACGGAACAGATGAGGTGGTCGGAACAGAAGAGGTGGGACGGAACAGATGAGGGGGGACGGAACAGATGAGGGGGACGGAACAGATGAGGGGGAACGGAACAGATGAGGGGGACGGAACAGATGAGGGGGACGGAACAGATGAGGCTGAACGGAACAGATGAGGGGGACGGAACAGATGAGGGGGACGGAACAGATGAGGGGGGCGGAGCAGATGAGGGGGGACAGAACAGATGAGGGGGGACAGAACAGATGAGGTGGACGGAACAGAAGAGGTGGGACGGAACAGATGAGGGGGGACGGAACAGATGAGGGGGACGGAACAGATGAGGGGGGCGGAACAGGTGAGGGGGGACGGAACAGATTAGGGGGGACGGAACAGATGAGGGGGGACGGAACAGATGAGGGGGGGGGGGGACGGTTCAGATGAGGTGGACGGAACAGATGAGATGGGACGGAACACATGAGGTGGACGGAACAGAAGAGGTGGGACGGAACAGATGAGGGGGACGGAACAGATGAGGGGGGCGGAGCAGATGAGGGGGGACAGAACAGATGAGGGGAGCGGAACAGATGAGGGGGGGTGGAACAGATGAGGTTGGACAGAACAGATGAGGTGGAAGGAACAGATGAGGGGGGCGGAACACATGAGGGGGGACGGAACAGATGAGGTGGACGGAACAGAAGAGGTGGGACGGAACAGATGAGGGGGGACGGAACAGATGAGGGGGGACGGAACAGATGAGGTGGACGGAACAGATGAGGGGGGACGGAACAGATGAGGGGGGGCGGAACAGGTGAGGGGGGACGGAACAGATGAGGGGGGACGGAACAGATGAGGGGGGACGGAACAGATGAGGGGGGGGGGGACGGTTCAGATGAGGTGGACGGAACAGATGAGGGGGGACGGAACAGATGAGGGGGGACGGAACAGATGAGATGGGACAGAACAGATGAGGGGGGACGGAACAGATGAGGTGGGACGGAACAGATGAGGGGGGACGGAACAGATGAGATGGGACGGAACAGATGAGGGGGGGGGGGGGGGACGGTTCAGATGAGGTGGACGGAACAGATGGGGTGGGACGGAACAGATGAGGGGGGACGGAACAGATGAGATGGGACGGAACAGATGAGGGGGGACGGAACAGATGAGGTGGGACGGAACAGATGAGGGGTTGGGGGCAGATGAGATGGGACGGAACAGATGAGGGGGGACGGAACAGATGAGGTGGGACGGAACAGATGAGGTGGACGGAACAGATGAGGGGGGACGGAACAGATGAGGTGGACGGAACAGATGAGGGGGGACGGAACAGATGAGGGGGGCGGAACAGATGAGGGGGGACGGAACAGATGAGGGGGAACGGAACAGATGAGGGGGACGGAACAGATGAGGGGGGACGGAACAGATGAGGGGGGCGGAACAGATGAGGGGGGACAGAACAGATGGGGTGGGACTGAACAGATGAGGGGGGACGGAACAGATGAGATGGGACGGAACAGATGAGATGGACGGAACAGATGAGATGGACGGAACAGATGAGATGGGACGGAACAGATGAGGGGTTGGGGACAGATGAGATGGGACGGAACAGATGAGGGGGGACGGAACAGATGAGGTGGGACGGAACAGATGAGGTGGACGGAACAGATGAGGGGGGACGGAACAGATGAGGGGGGACGGAACAGATGAGGTGGACGGAACAGATGAGGTGGGACGGAACAGATGAGGTGGACGGAACAGATGAGGGGGGACGGAACAGATGAGGGGGGACGGAACAGATGAGGTGGACGGAACAGATGAGGGGGGGCGGAACAGATGAGGGGGGCGGAACAGATGAGGGGGGACGGAACAGATGAGGTGGGACGGAACAGATGAGGGGTTGGGGGCAGATGAGATGGGACGGAACAGATGAGGTAGACGGAACAGATGAGGTGGGACGGAACAGATGAGGTGGACGGAACAGAAGAGGTGGGACGGAACAGATGAGGGGTTGGGGGCAGATGAGATGGGACGGAACAGATGAGGTGGGACGGAACAGATGAGGTGGACGGAACAGATGAGGGGGGACGGAACAGAAGAGGTGGGACGGAACAGATGAGGGGTTGGGGGCAGATGAGATGGGACGGAACAGATGAGGTAGACGGAACAGATGAGGTGGGACGGAACAGATGAGGTGGACGGAACAGAAGAGGTGGGACGGAACAGATGAGGGGTTGGGGGCAGATGAGATGGGACGGAACAGATGAGGTGGGACGGAACAGATGAGGTGGACGGAACAGATGAGGGGGGACGGAACAGATGAGGGGGGACGGAACAGATGAGGGGGGACGGAACAGATGAGGTGGACGGAACAGATGAGGGGGGACGGAACAGATGAGGGGGGCGGAACAGATGAGGGGGGACGGAACAGATGAGGGGGGACGGAACAGATGAGGGGGAACGGAACAGATGAGGGGGACGGAACAGATGAGGGGGGACGGAACAGATGAGGGGGGCGGAACAGATGAGGGGGGACAGAACAGATGGGGTGGGACGAATGTAATAATATTTGTTTTGATTTCTCTCATCCTAGTACATAGATTCACCCTGATAATGATAGTCTTTGTTTGTCAGCACCATTGACAAGTGCTCGCGGGCTTTACACGTTTATTTGTCTGTTCGTTTGTCCATGTGTGAATGTGTGAAGCCCATTTCTGATGTTCCCCGCCGTGAATTGCTGGAAAAGTGCTAAAAGCGGCGTAAAACCATACTCACTCACTATTCACTCACTCACTTCTTCCATCTATTCCAGGCCCAATTCGGGTTGGGCATCTTTGAATTTGGAACCGGAAAAATCAGTGGGTACACATTCGAGTATCATCGTTCAGCGGTGAGTATCAGTGCGCCTTTGATTAATGGGGTGATAACCTCAGTCCCATACAGATAGATGATTATGATATATATCATTTTTTTGCAAACATGTTCCAACGAATATTATAATCTCCACACCGGGAATGTTCCTCTCTTAAATTGACGTAAAATCGCAAAGCAGAGAAATACCTATTGTAGATAAACTTTGCGAACTCCGGATCAAATGAACTGAACACAGTTCATTTATTTGAAATGTTATATTTTGAATATTATTTGAATTTGAATATTATTTCCTTCAATTGGGTGTAAATTGTATTGCTTTTACCAACCGGTGATTTATAAAAAAAAGTTGATTTCTGAAACGGAAATTGGGGCTAGATTGATTTCCTTAATTCTGAGAATTTCCAAGGGACACCAACCGTGCATATTTGCTTACTGTTCTCGTCATTTGCACTATTTAACCTGCTGTCTGCTCATTGTCTCTTCAGATGTATTAATACGCCCTATATACTTGTAACATATATTGGCATACATGCACTTGAGCAATGACAGAACAGCACTACATCAACAGTTATAATAACTAGACTGCCAAACAAGGCACCTTCCACAGTTTACTATGGTGTTGCACAAGTTTAAACTTCTCATTGGCATTGTTTTAATCAATGACTTACTGAGGAATTATCGCTGGAAATATTTTCAGTAATTATGACGTTTGATTTTATGCTGATTGGCCAGTTCACTAATTTGAACTAATAAATTGATGTTTCCCAAATTCAAATAACAAAGAAACTTTCAGTTAACTTTTAGATAATTATTCTAGATTTGATTACATTGGTGCTGAAAGAAATTTCCTTACAAGGTTAAACAAAACAAAAATGAAAATTATAACTTGCAGAATACCCCCACCCCAAATCCCCCAACCAGGCTTTTGTGTGCCTTTGGTTTCCAATGTTTCATTAGTGCCCGAAGAATGTGTAAGTTACTGATATGATCTAATTGATGACACATTGTGAACTTGGCCCAGGATCTCGTGCTGGTTAGGAACGCCACTGCCTGTTTCATTGTTGAAACTGATGAAGACCTGACAGAGAAGATGAGGAACAGGGGAAGTCGGGAAGGATTGGAGGTACAGTGTGAGTTAGTGAGTGAGTGAGTGAGTAAGTGAGGCTGTGTTTTGGGTGAATGAGTGAATGAATTGTGTTAGGCTGTGTTTTGAGTAAGTGAGTGAGTGAGTGAGTGAGTGAGTGAGTGAGTGAGTGAAAGAGATTGTCACTTGTGTGTGGATGTGTTTTGGGTGAGTGAGTGAATTGTGTGTGGCTGTATTTTAAATGTGTGCGTGAGTGGGTGGCTGTGTTTTGGGCGAGTGAGTGAGTCACTTGTTTGTTGCTGTGTTTGGGTGAGTTAGTGAGTGACTGCAGGTGAGTGAGTGGGTGGGTGCGTGCGTGCGTGATTTAGCTAGTAAGTGAGTGAGATATTTGGTTAGTTGATTGACATGTGTATCTTGCATGTCATCGTATCCAGGCTCGATTATTTACACACCGCCGTCACATAGCTGAACTATCTCTGAGTGCGGCTTTAAACAACAAACAGGGGCGGTCGGGTAGCCTAGTGGTTAAAACGTTCGCTCGTCACGCCGAAGACCCGGGTTCGATTCCCGACATGGGTACAATGTGTGAAGCCCATTTCTGGTGTCCCCCGCCGTGATATTGCTGGAATATTGCTAAAAGCGGCGTAAAACCATATTCACTCACTCACTAAAACAACAAACAAGCATTACGGAGTTCATTGAAATTGCGACCCTCGTGTTCCTTGAGGAGTCATGTGCACGTGACCGATTGTCAGATATCCATTAATATCATCCATGTAATTTCGTCTGTGACACCCGTATCAAATAATCACCATCAAATAACCATTCATCGTTTGTTTCATTTTTAGCCACCATCAAACATGGGTACAGTAAACTACGGTTATAACGAACACGCTTATAACGAACTAACGGATATAACGAACTAACTTTTTAGTCCCGACTATTTGGTGTAGTTATACTGTATATATGCTTATAACGAATTACGGTTATAACGAACTAAAATTAGTAGTCCCTTTGAGTTCGTTATAACCGTAGTTTACTCTATATACTTTCTCTTGCCTTGATACACTATCTTTTCTAATGTTCCGAGTCATGTTGACACGCGCATGCGCTGTTCTTTCAGAACGAGTTGTACGGTCAGATCCTTGCCGAAATGGGCGAGACTGTGGCGAAGCTGACCGACCTCCGCAGCGACTACCATGACATCAGGGCGGTAGCCGAATGTTTTCACCACGACGTATTCAAGTTACAGTACTCTTCATCATAATGCTTTAGCAAAGTGTATGATTATATTAAAGAATGACTTTTATTTAAAAAATGTCCTTTCGTGTGTTTTAAGTTCGACTTTGTTTTGATTATGCAATGAAATTGAAACAATTGTTAATCGTTCAATCATGAACAGCAGATGATCCGTTCTTCTTTATATTACCATTTCTCACACTGATTAAGAAAGAAGATTCAGATGAATGGAAGGTCATCACAACTTCATAACGTGTGTTTTTATGACGTCGTGCTATCTCAACAATGCAGCATGTGTGACGTCGAAACACTGACGTTTTGGATTTCTCAACAATGCACTATGACGTCATATCGTCTGGAGACCAATCAGCCGGAAGAACGGTTATGTTGTGGGTCATTTTGCCCCCAGGGGCGTGTATCGTTGTTTACATTGAATGATGCCGAATTTCTCTGCAATAACCATAGGGACTTGGTCCCTCGCACGATATGGCCGGTCGTTAGAGGCGACACAATTGGATTGGGTGGTCAGTCTGGGTGGAAAGGGTGGTCAGTTTGGGTAGATAGGGTGGTCAGTTTCAGTTGGTTGGCTGGTCATTATCGATCGGATCGCCTTCACTGGGAACCGCCATTTTGTTTGAAACGAAGGCAAGTGGCATCAGAGGTGGAATCTGATTGGTTAAATAGCACATAGAAGGGACATAACTCGTAAGCAAAGGTGGAAACTGGATTTTTATAGTCAGTTAACTCCCTTGCCGAGGGAAGATGGCTGAGCGCGGCGTTGAACAACAAACAAACAACCGTTTCTTGAATGACTTAATCAGGCCTTTGATGGTGAAACCTTGTTTGAAAAAGTTAAGGTGTAAGCAAAATGTGTCTTTCCGTGGAATCTGAATGAAATGGACGTGCTCAGTTGTACTGAAGAAGTAGTAAAATATAGACACCATGAGCTGGGGCTGAAGGTATGCTGCACGACGGTTTGGTACATAAACCTATATGGTCGACTGTGTACTAAATGACAAGGTGGAGAGTGAGTTAGGTCAACACAACTTTTAACATTATTCCAGTTAATGTGGGAGGAAAGCCCGAGGTGATGCGGGTCTCAGACGTTTACCACTTCGGTGAAACCCACGAGCACGGGTATGGTGCTGACAAACCTAGAAACGTAATCGGGGCGAACCGGGATTCGAACCCACGATCACAGGTTTCTAGCGTACCCAAGGGACGCAACTCTGCACAGTGAATTGCGGTGCCTGAGACGACTGAGCCATCCCCCATGAGGCTGGAGAGTACAGGATTAGTAATTGCGCTCCTCAAGCTAGGCTATTGACAGGTTCTTGTATTTCAGTCCTGTTCCATAGTTTGTTAAAAACGCTGTGTCTCCGTATGTTGTTCGGGATGTGCTTATTGTACGTCTCGGGTTCGATTCCCACTTAAGAATCTCCTTGTGAAGCCCACCATGTGTGGCCCATCCTTTGCTTGATAGTATTTATTTATTTGTTTGTTTGTTTGCTGTTTAACGCCGCGCTTAGTTCTATTTCAGCTATACGATAGCTATGTAAATTATCGAGTCTCGATCACACAATCCCGTGTTTGACATCATGAGCACCGATCTACTCAATTGGGATACGATGACATGTAACAACCGAGTCAGATTCTGACCACCCGGTCCCGTGAGTCGTCTTTTACGACAAGCATGGGTTGCTGAAGACCTATTCTCAATCGGATCTTCATGGGTCTTTTATTATAGTAGCTCACTAACCCATAAAATCTGCGAACACAAATACCCAGGGAGCATTACTTTATGAGAGGGTTAAACTGACACTATATTCATCTAGGAGCTTGGCGTATACGTCAGCTCGAACACGCTGTTTCTGAAGCACTCGGCCACGGCCCAGTTGTCGTGGTAGTTGCTGCGGAGGTCGGTGATGCTGCTAACTGTCTCGCCGGTGTGGGCTTTAATCTGGGCGTAGAGCTCATCCTGGGGAAGCATGAGACCAGATGTTTATATGACAGGTGTGTAGGAAATAATGAGGAGAGGTGAAGTTGGTTTAATGTTGGATTCACGATTATTGCACTTACATAGCGACTTAATTATTCGTTCGTTGACATTTTTCGATATACTTTACGAGTTTTTCCAAGACTCACTAAGACGTTTAGTTTAGGCCTTGACTAAGATGTGCAATTAAGACTAAACATAACGACAGTGAGTGAGTGAGTGAGTGAGTGAGTGAGTGAGTGAGTATCTGGTTTTACGTCGCTTTTAGGAATATTCGAGAAATTTCACGAGGGACACAAACAATGGGCTTTACACATTGAACCCATTTGTAGAATCGATACTGGGTATTCAACGCGTCGAGTGAACCGCTAGGCTATCCAAATGTAAATATATTAAATGTAACTAATAGTTAAAATTATTTGCAAAACCCTCTGCGATATGTACTAAAGGAATGTGGCCTCTTGAGTGCTTGAATGAAGATTGATTGACAATGTTGAAGGATAAATGCTTCAGATGTTGCTCACATAAAAACAAAACAAACACTGATGACGAACCTCGAGCTGTTCCCTGGTATCTCTGTGTTCCATCTTGCTGACGATGTCCTTGGTGGCGTCCACGACGAAGCAGGCAGTGGCGTTTCTCACAAGGATCAGATCCTGCCGCATAGAAATCATTGTACAAAATATGTGTCCTCCTAGACTGGTACCCTATCCTAGCGGCTGCAGTTGTAGTGCAGAAATGAGCGCAAGCGCTCGAGGGCAGGCAAACCAGTTTAGTGTCCTCCTTCTCAAGGTCTCGCTCTTTCGCGTTGGTTCACACGAGATTGAAAACAACGACCAATGACAATCAGGGGATTCCCCGCCAGCTTTGCAAATGCGTTGTCAGCTAAACCGTATCCACCTATCCAGGTCTTTCCGTTCAAATGATGTTATGGCTTCCGCTGTTTAATATTTAGCACACTGTTTGTGATCCACGTAGTTTTTATTCAAATATATACATATGCTTGGAGTATACAGCTCTGTGTCCCAGGTATCTCTCATCATAACACTTCAGAGAAAACAGAATTTTTTTATTTTTTTTATATTTTTTTAGAAGAAATTTGATTACATGGAAACTGTTTTTTTCTTTTAATATATATCTTGTTCAGATTAAGGCATTTATTTATAGACATTAAGGCATTCGGTGGATTTATATTCTTATCTGTCACAATAAGAAAGAGAACATTATGAAAAAGAAAGTGGAGCGAATAATTCAAGAACCTACTTACACCATTCCTGTGGTATTCAAAGGAATACCCATGGATGCGATCTTGGTTTCCAAAGTTGTAGATGTCGCCAAAATTGGGGAACTGACCCTGAAAGATACAAAGAAATGTCTGCAGACAGGCAGTACGTAGACTCAGGTGAGCCCAACATCGGGGGTGTCCAAAGATCCTGATAGGGAGAAATAGAAATTCTAATAAGCAATCTGGCACACACAAAAAAGAATGGGATGGGTTTAAAGTCGCTTTGATCAGTATTACAGTTATATCACGGCATGTAAGCTTAATGTGGGAGGAAAGTCCGAAGTGATGCAGGTCTCAGACGTTTACCACTTTGTTGAAACACCAAAACACCATTTGGTGCTGACAAACCTGGAAACATAATCGGGGCGAACCGGGATTCGAACCCACAATCATAGGTTTCTGGCGTGTCCAAGGGACGCGAATTGCGGCGCCTAAGACGACTTGGATACCCGTGCACCACAACAAAAAATAGTTGCGGCAGTCTGTTTATCTTAACCATGAGTGAGTGAGTGATTTGGGTTTAACGCCGCTTTTAACATTATTCCAGTTATATCACGGCGTGTCAGTTTCATGTGGGAGGAAACCCCGAAGTGATGCAGGTCTCAGACGTCTACCACTTTGGTGAAACCCACAAGCACGGGTATGGTGCTGACAAACCTAGAAACATAATCGGGGCGAACCGGGATTCGAACCCACAATCATAGGTTTCTGGCGTGTCCAAGGGACGCAACTCTGCACAGCGAATCGCGGCGCCTCAGACGACTGGGCCACCCGTGCCCCCATCTGAGCCATGAGCAGACAACAGGATTCTTGCACGTCATTGAGATTCAACCAGCGTTCCCTATAACTAAAACAAAACGTGTTGTGCCAAACACAAGGATGTGTCTAGATTTGCATAATGCATGCGTTTCAAATTCTGTAATTCCTCTCAACCACTATCGTCTATTTAGGTTTGGGCGCTAAGGGCGATCTGAAAGTCACTGGAAATATAATACTTTTTGTCTTAAATAGTGTTAACATCGTTCACCATTTGTTTTTTGTTGTTATGGCGGTCGAACTAGACGTAAAAATATACTTTCGAAAGCTTATTATAAGCATATGATTGATCAGATACAGGTACAGAATGCTGTGAGTTTGTTTACTTCTATATATACATATACATACTTCAATGCATATAACACCCAAACAAAAAGAGTACAAAAACACAGTATATATTTTAATTATTTCATTAATGAACTATTAGGTCGCGAAAAACGTTATTTGAATTTTTTTTATTTTTCTATGAAACGCGGATGCATCTATACATTCTGGTGGACTTACACATGCAATGACTACTAGACACATACTCTGATGGACTTACATATGCATTCACGACTAGATAATACATCTTGGTGGACCTAAATACGCAATGATGGCAAGATATACATTCTGGTGGACTTACATATACAAAAACGAATAGATGTGCACTCTGAGCGACTTATGTATGCAATGACAACTAGACATACATTCTGCTGGACTTACATATGCAATCTGGTGGACTTACATATGCAATAACGACTAGCTATACATTCTGATAAACTTACATATGCAATGGCGACCAGTCCGAGAACTATGAAAGTCTTCATGATGTTAGAGATGTGAAGGTGTGACAGAAGCTCAGGTGTGCCACGACTTATATAACCATGCATTGAGATAACGGTACACTGAGATAAGAAAGTGCAGAATCATTGACACTTTAACCCCTGAAATCCAGAAAACCTGGAACCCTGTCTTCAAGGCTGCCTGTGAATGAGTGGGTGGGTGGGTGAATGAGGTTTTACGTGTGTTTAGCAATATTACAACATGATCAAAATGGCAGGATAGCCTGAAATCATCATCATCATCATCATCATCATCATCATCATCATCATCTCTCTCTGTGTCTCTGTCTCTCTCTCTCTCTTTATATATATATATATATATATATACAAAAATGAGGTAAATGTTCACTCGGTGTACATGTAATATATAATAAAATAATAAAGTCCACGTTAGTCCATCATCTTCTTTATATCAGTTTCATACATAGTACTTTCGCTGTCTCATGACAGCTCTTCAGTGTAACTGACAATGACATATAATGACGTCATACTTATGATGACGTCATACATTACAACTGTGACGTCATAATGTATTTACACACTCCAGCGACGACACCAAGTAATTTAACAATTGTAGGGAGACATTTGAATTAAATATACAGTATTTGTAAAGTAACAGTGCAACATTTACGATTGAAATGACAAATCTATTAATACATTCTAGAGTTCAATTTTGGTTTCATCAATTGGATAAACATTTGTTCTTTTTCCAGTCTCAGCTGCTTGTTACTTGTATACAATTTATAAAACGGAAAAATAGTAAATTTCCCGTTTCCGCAATCATCAATGTGTTTGCTGACACCTATGCATCGAACATTAGGGTCTCTAATCTGCTGTTTGTGTACAGTGACTCTATCTATTAATTCCATGCCGGTTTCACCGATGTAGTTTTCGCCGCATCCCGAACATCTCATAACATACACCACATCTTTGCTGCGGCAGTTTATGTCGGCTTTTACATTGAAACCATTGCCATTTGCAAAAAAGAAAGTAGTACCTTCACTTATGATGTTACACGTGCCGCATCTTGGTGTGTTACATCTACTTACACATGGTACACTCTCTGTACAAGAATATTTGGATGGACAAAGAATTTGCTTGAGATTTTTTGGTTGCCTGGTACTTTTTATAATTTTAAATTTATTCAGTCCTTGTTTCATTTTATCGCTTTGTTGTAGAATTGGGAGGTTGTCCCTTATGGCTGGCATGATATCACAGTTATTAGGATTAAAGGTTGACACAAACGGTATAATTTGATCGCCCACAGATTTTTCATTAGGTTTCAGGAGAGTATGTCTTGGAATTTTTAAAGACTTTTCTATTGCGTCATTTATGACGCGAAGCGGATCTCCTAGCTTCCTGAGATACCCCATCAATTCTTTCAATCTTAAATCTCTTTTATCCGTTTCCGACACGATGGTACATACTCTCCGCGTAAGTGAATAAGGAATGTTAGTTCGTGTATGCCTGGGGTGACATGAACCGAATTGTAGGTATTGATGGGTGTCCGTTGGTTTGTAGTAGATATCTGTTTTCAATTTAGTATCTTCCTTAACTACAAGGACGTCCAGAAATGGAATTTCGCTCTCGCTAGACTCCATAGTAAAACTGATGGAAGGATGGAGCTTATTAATAATATCCAGAAAAATGTCTAAATTTTCACGAGTTGAGAGCCAAACTAAAAACGAAGCGTCCAAAATCGCTTCCAAGTTTCGCGCACATGTTTGGCAATGGATTCTGACATGAAATCGTGTACCTTGCTGTTAAGAATATCCTCTATATAGCCCATCACAAGTGTAGCGTATGTTGGGGCGACTTTCGTTCCCATGGCCGTTCCCTTTCTTTGATGATAGAATGTTCCGTTGAAACAGACGGTATTATTTTCTAAGACTAATCTTAAAGATTCCACGATGAAACTTTCCGAAAATTCAGTGTCGATAGCCTCAGGATGTTTTCTCAGCCAAAACTGAACTGCTTCCAATCCCAGATCATGGGGTATGTTGGTAAATAAACTCTTCACATCAAAGGTGGCTAGAGTCGCATCAATAGGTACGGCATCGGGCAGGTGGGAAAGAAAGTCTACATCGTCTCTTACAAAACTCGGTACATGCATATGCTTTGTTAATGGTTTTAAAATGATATCGACCAGATTACTTAGGGGCTGAGTCGGGCTGTTCGGTCCTCCGACAATCGGTCTGAATGTCAAATCAGGACAGCTGGTAATTTCGATATACTCCGCATTCTGTTCGGCATTAGCATTATTTATCAATTTACTTTTATGGATCTTGGGTAGTCCATAGAAATTAGCCGTCTGCGGGTCACAGTTTATTAAGTAGTCTTTTTCTTTAGGGTGTAGATCTCCAGAGAAGTCATCACTATGTTTTTTAATCTTCTTAATTACAGCTTTTTCAGTATTATCTGTTTCAATGTAAAATTCCTTGTCTTGCAATAATTCATAATGTTTTTATTCATAATATTCCGAGTCCATTATTACGACTGCGCCGCCTTTATCTGCTTCCTTAATAACAATCGATTTGTCATTTTTAAGATCCTCCACAGCTTTACGTTCTTCCAGTGATAAGTTGGCATGGCACTTCCTGATGTTCCGTAGAGGATATTTCTCCAGGTTGTTTAAGTAGTCATCAAGGTATTTATCCCTGTTCTTTTTTGGATTGAACATGCTTTTGTTCCTTAATAATGGTCTATTTGTGATCGAATTTTTATCGGAAACGGATATATCATCCTCTTGATCATCGCATTCAAAATATTCCATGAGTCTCAGTCTTCTACTGAATACATGAATGTCCACTTTAAGCTCTTCGTGATTCTGTGACGGAGTTGGCGTGAACTTTAGACCCCGTTTTAGTAAACTTATTTCAGCTGTAGTGAGTTGTCTTTTAGAAATGTTAATTATTTTCGGGTCAACGCGTTGTTTTTCTTCTGCAGCAGTCACATTTCTTTGAATCTGTGCCTTGTTTGGTGGCTGTACCCTAAAAAATATCTGTTGTAATCCTCACGTTGTGCATTATGTGGTCTGCTGTAATCACCATGCTGTATATTATTGACTCTTCCTTGTTCTCTGCTACGTCCTCTTCCGCGTCCTGTACCACGCAGGAAACGTTTTTCCTGGTTCCCATGATAGTATGTGCGATTTGATTTAAAGTGGTTCAAATATTCTGCATGTTTTGGTCTCGTCGACATCGCGGCCTCGTTCCGTCTTGCGCTCTGACCTCGCTTCAATCGTTTCCAGGTTCGTTTCTGTATACAGAAATGTTCCCTAGCCAAAGTTAAAATACAGAAACGTACCCAGGGATGAGTCCATTCCGCGGCAGGGAAACAATGCGCGTAACAAGTTTTTTTATTTATTCGTCACTTCCTGTTTGCCAAACCGCGGTTAAATTCTACATGGCAGTACGTAATCGTCGGGAGGAACTTCTTCTGAACTTGAATGTCTTGGAGCTGTTGGCAAACAAAATCTTGTAGAAGTCATGCAATCGAAATCAGGAGAACCGGGGCTAATACATAAACCGGCTTCGGTTTCTGGTTTGGGAATATGGACTTGTCCGCCGTTCTGTATACAGAAACGTACCTGGAGAATATTTGTGAGGTACCTGTGCCGACAACGACCTCTTGAGCGTAACTTGCGGGTAAACACCACAACCAGATTCCCGATCGGTTTTCAGAATAACAAGAATGTTGTATCAAGTTTCAACACCTGACATGTCGTAAACAACTCCAGACGAAAATGTCCTTTTACGTGAACTTCATGCTACCGTCTTTCGAGATGATCAATTCTTTTTTTGGCTGATGAAATTTCAGCCTGACCAGCCTTCATTTCCTGATCTTCAAATACACGTATAACCCATTTTGTTTGTATCCTGTGGGGGGTACTTGAAGTCAATTGGTAATCTATATCTACTGTGTGTATTATTATTATACATTAAAATGTAAAGCGAAAACGGAGACGGAGGACCATGTGTTCCGACTCATGTCAGCAACTCTTTTCGCTTCAGGCTCTGGGATGGAATTTGTTGATTGTATACAGGTCTATAAATCTAGAGTTTTATGTTGACTGGTCAGTTCACGAATTGAATTGCAAATTTGAACTAATAAATTGGTGTTTCCCAAATTAAAATAACAAAGAATCACGTACGTAACATATAAATAGGTGTATAGGGTGGTCAGTCTCTGTAGATAGGGTGGTCAGTCTCAGTAGATAGGACGGTCAGTCTCGGTGGACAGGGTGGTCAGTCTCGGTGGACAGGGTGGTCAGTCTCAGTAGATAGTGTGGTCAGTCTCAGCAGATAGGGTGGTCGGTCTCAGTAGATAGTGTGGTCAGTCTAAGTAGATAGGGTGGTCAGTCTCAGTAGATAGGGTGGTCAGTCTAAGTAGATAGGGTGGTCAGTCTCAGTAGATAGGGTGGTCAGTCTCAGTAGACAGGGTGGTCAGTCTCAGTAGATAGGGTGGTCAGTCTAAGTAGATAGGGTGGTCAGTCTCAGTAGATAGGGTGGTCAGTCTCAGTAGATAGGGTGGTCAGTCTCAGTAGATAGTGTGGTCAGTCTCAGTAGATAGGGTGGTCAGTCTCAGAAGATAGGGTGGTCAGTCTCAGTAGATAGGGTGGTCAGTCTCAGTAGATAGGGTGGTCAGTCTAAGTAGATAGGGTGGTCAGTCTCAGTAGATAGGGTGGTCAGTCTCAGTAGACAGGGTGGTCAGTCTCAGTAGATAGGGTGGTCAGTCTAAGTAGATAGGGTGGTCAGTCTCAGTAGATAGGGTGGTCAGTCTCAGTAGATAGGGTGGTCAGTCTCAGTAGATAGTGTGGTCAGTCTCAGTAGATAGGGTGGTCAGTCTCAGAAGATAGGGTGGTCAGTCTCAGTAGATAGGGTGGTCAGTCTCAGTAGATAGGGTGGTCAGTCTCAGAAGATAGGGTGGTCAGTCTCAGTAGATATGGTGGTCAGTCTCAGTAGATAGTGTGGTCAGTCTTAGTAGATAGGGTGGTCAGCCTCAGTAGATAGGGTGGTCAGTCTCAGTAGATAGGGTGGTCAGTCTCAGCAGATAGGGTGGTCAGTCTCAGTGGATA